TCTCAGGACCATGGTTAGGGCGCGTATATCGCCTAGGATGGATAACTGGACATAGGTATTGTTCCCTGGCAGGTCTAGGTACTCATGCTCAGCTTAGGGTGCGTATTTGCATGTTGCCTTCTATTCAGGCTGAGACAGACCTACTGGACTAGCGAGCGTCCTATAGTGTGTACTATATACATATATGGACTACTCTAGATATTGTTGAGTCTTCCTAGGGTGTATCTGCGTAACGAATTACTGCTTGGATTGTAGTAGATCATGACTTGCATGTGGGCCTGACCCACTACTTTATTTTTCAGGTGCTCGTCAGTTCCAGAGTTAGAGGTTGATCGTGCAGAGCAAATACAGATATTCATTCCTCCGACTATGTAGAAATCTTCTCTATAATAGCTTTAGAGTTTATTTTTGTCATTTCAATTTCGGTTTGAGAATTTTGATAAGGGGCCCAATGGATGGATTCCAGAGTTGTAAACTTATGGAGGTTTTGGAATATCAGATTGGACTAATTGTGATACAAGGTTTTTCTTTTAGTTTTTTTTAGCTTTTAATTTATTTCTTAAATCATTTTTTTGTATTCTGTGTTCAATTATATATTAATTGTTTGGTATTTCTCGGATCTGTGCTCAGACTTGATCACCCGTAGCTTTAGAATCGAGGGGTATCACATGGCTTCCCCAAATCAAGCTTCTCCTCTTTGGCTTCGTTTGGATTGAGGGATTTAAAGGGATTTGGAGAGAAAAGAAAGGGAAGAATAGTGATAAGTGTGTTTAGATAAGAGGAATATGAGAGAAAAGAAAGGATTTGGAGAGATTTGGAGGATAACAATCCCTCAAAATCCCTTATTTGGAGAGTTGAGAGACAGCCGACTGAAACTTTGATTTGTGAACGGCGACCGAACTGGACTGGAACAGCAGGTGATAGAAACTATTAAATATGGGTTTTAATTTTTTTAACAATCTGAAATGATATGCGGATATGGGTTTAGATTTTTACAGTCGTAGAGAGAGAGAGGGGGAGGCTGAGAAGGAGATGGAGGCTATTGGGGAGGCTGAAATATATATATATATATATATATATATATATATATATATATATATATATGTAGTTTGTAGTTTGTAGTTTGCAGTTGCAGAAAGAGAGAGAAAGTTGCAAAACAAAAATTACAGACCCTGATTAGTTGATTTTAGAAAAAAAATTTAAAATGAAACCCATACATACAAGTTAGCAGTTGTAGAGAGAGGGGGGCAAGCTTGAAATATATGGGTTTTGATTTTTTGAACAATCTGAAAAAATATGCCGATATGCAGTTGGAGAGAAAGAGGATTAGAGATGGAGGCGATGAGAGGCTGAAATGATTTTGCCCTATTAACCCTACCAAAAAGGGTAAGATGGTAATTTCATTATTGATGAGCACTGAAAAGTGCGTATTTAAACCCCTTAAGCTTAGGTGTTCTAGGACCTTTATCTATCTTATTTTCGCACTTTAAATTGATTTCGTGTTATTTTCATTTTCAGGTATTTATCCCTAAAATAAGCTAACTCAGCCAAATAAGAGCAGAATGAAGCAATTACGGGATGAATCAAAAAAATGAGCAAAGTAGAACAAAAGGAAGCAAAAGGTGAAATTTCAGCAACTTCGATCGATCTCAAGAAAAGTTCGATCGATCCAACTTTCATCGATCTCAGCACTTCCAGATGGATCTGAGCCATGTTTGTCCCTATTCAAAGATCTCAAAGTTCGATCGATCCAACTTCATTCTCTGATCGATCGAACCATCTTGTCCTTATCCAAATGATTGATCTTATCCAGCTGTACCACCCTACCAACCACTTTTGTCCTTTTCCCAAAAATATCTTCAAAATATCTCAGATTTATTTTTATCCAAAAAGGTGCCGCCATAGAGGATCGATCCAGCTTCAATTCGATAGATCTCAGCCATGTTCGATCGATCTTACCACAAGTTTGATCGATCGAACTTCCCAAATCCCAAGGAAATCCAAATTCCAGTTCATTAAAAGTTCTCTCATATCCAATCTTTGGAGGAATATTTGGTGTACGAGCCCAGCTCATTTGGGGTGATTTTTTACTTACCTATATAATAGGGGTGCACAAAAGAACCGGAACCGTGGAACCGGAACCGTTTTTTCCGTTTCTCACGGTTCCGGTTCCGGAATTTTGGAACAGTTCCGGAACTATTTTTTCCGGTTCTCAAGGTTCCGGTTCCGGAATTTTGGAACCGTGAGTTACGGTTCCGGTTCCGGTTCCAAACCGTGGGAACCGTCAGGAACCGGAACCGTATATATATATATATATATATATATATATATATATATATATTTAATTATATGTATTCCACAATTGTATAGACAGATATTTGTAGCTATGTGTTGACAGATGGATGACTTAGATGAGTCAAGAATCATTATATGGCACGTGGTGGTCCACAAAAACTCAAATCTCAAGTCTCTTATCTAAATTCTAAACCTAGATCTAATATCTCAAATCTCAACACTCATCCCAACTCTCGATCTGTTCTGAAAATTGATCGAAGCCGCCGTCTCGCCTCGCCTCGCCTGAGTCGCCTCATCAGTGATCAGTCCTTGACTCCTCTTTGTTGGCCGCCTCGCCTTGTCTCGCCTCAACATCATCGCTTCCCCTCACCTCTCATCGCCCTCGCCTGAGTCGCCTCCTCTCATCTCCTCAATCCTCATTGCCTTTGCCTCTTCTCAAGTCTCAAGTCTCATCTCAAGCTAATTAATTCATTGTCGCTGTTTATTAACTTCATCGTCTTTTCCAAGAGATAATCCAAAGCACTGACTTCTGTCATCTCTCTTAATTTAATTTTATTTTTTACTCTTTGAAAAATCTAGTACATGTTTGGAATTGATTTACTAGGTAAATGATGATGGTTGAAGAAGGAAGTGGTTGTCTGATCAGCATACAATTTCAGCCCAACAAGTCTTTTGTATTTTTTTTTTCCTTTTTTTTTTTTTTTTTTTTTTTTTCTTTTTGAGATAAATTAGACTTAGTTAGAGTTTATTATACTAATATACTCAATTGATCCGAGTGCCGCATGTGATGGTGTTCAGTTTTATCTTTGAGATGCCCACATGTGTAGTTTCTCTATCGTGCATAGAGTAATATTGATTTCTGTTATTGTATCTTAATTTACACACACGCAAAAACCAAACAGTTAACGGTTCTGGTAGAACCGAACCCGAACCGAACCGGTTCTACGGTTCAGTTCCGGTTCCGGTTCCATGTTATACGGTTCCGGTTCCGGTTCAAGTTCCATTTTCAAAGAACCGTTGTGAACGGTTCCGGTTCCGACCGGAACCGTGTGCACCCCTACTATATAAGGAATATGAGCCACTTTTTGAGGGATACTTTATACTTTATACTTAGATACTTAGAGGGGAGATTTTGAGAGAATTCTTAGTGAGGAAGCAAAGGAGAAGAGGAGGCTAGAGATACCATTAGAGGTTCTTCATCAACTAAGGAGCAGATTTCTTCCATGGAGCTTGCCCTTAAGGGTTGGAAGACATCATCTATGAGTGGCTAGACATCCTCTTGGGGCTAGAGTTAGCCCTAAGCATGCTTTCTACATCTTGATTTATGTATTTTTTAGGGGATTTGTATTGTGATACGTGTTTTGACACTTTTATATATAGAGATCTTGTTTATTCAATGATTTGTATGGTTTAATGCTTCTAATTGATCATTTCATTCTATCCATATATCTATGTATGCTAAAATAAATGTTCACGTGTTTATCTCTATTTCTTGTGTTGTTGATGTATGTCTATGTGTATTAATGCTATAGATATAGAGATTGTCAAGGCATAGTACTTAATGGAATGTTCTTGTGATTTATTTGATGGTTCACACTCATTTCTTGATGGATTGTACCTCTCCCTTAGTTTAATTAGTTTAATTTCATGTCATTAGCTTAATTGTAGTGTAGTTGTAGTTTAGATGTTAAATGGGAGGACAATCCATGCTTGTTGTTGATGTTCCATACTTATGAAAACAAGTAACATACATCTCTAACCTTGTGATGTGTTTGGATTGTGAGCTTAAAAAAAGGATTAATGGCGTAATTTGATATGTTGTGCTATCCACCATGTTGCTTAGATAGTGCATGCTTAATTTGTCATCCATACTTGTTGAAACAACCACACACACACACTTTGTTGCAATACATATTTTTCTCCTCATTAATCACTCATTAAGGGTGTAGAAAAGTATGCTTAGTGGTGATATCTAAATCCCAAGATCTCTCTCTCTTTTTTATTCTCTTTATTGCATTATTGATTATTTTAGTTTAAATTGCATCTTAGTGTAATTCAACCATCAACCAATCCTTTGATCACTCGACCTACTAACCCTAATCTTGATTTCTCAATCTAGTACGACTCATTAATCCCTTGGGACGATTCCTACTTGCTCTAGTTATATTTTTAGTAAAAGGTAGTAATGACAATTTCTAAATGTAAAACTTGACCACATTCATCATATCTCTACACCACTATCTTTTAGTGCAAACTTTGGGTCAGTGTGCGACAAGCCACCAATTATTATCCTTTCCCTTCTTTTCTCTCTTTTGTATTATCCAAACAACAATATTGCCAATTCCTTTCTTTTCTCTCCTATTTATTCAAATATGAATATAAATTATAGTTATTTTTTCATTTATTTTCCTTTCTTTTCTTTTCTGTTATAATCCTTTCATTTATTTTCTTTCCTGTGTATCCAAATAAAGCCTTTGTGCCTGCAATTTGAGTTTTGAGAAGGGAAAAAAGAAACATGGAGTCAACTTTTGGTCAAAACTACTTCACGGGTAAAACAAACTTTATATTTTTCCTGTTAAGTCAGTCACCGGGACTGAAATACAATAAATTCATAATTCAGCCGGTTAGTTGCAATTTGTCAATAGCACAGAGTTATTTTTTTTTTGTACTTTTCCCAAATATATATATAAACATTATTTAACAATATATCATTTGGTTCCAAATAGATAGCCGATCCGATCTGAAACCGAGATAAATTAGACGATCGAATGCTGCAGAAACCATTCTTACGTTCAAAGTATAATTGGTTGTCGAAGGATTCGCTTTTAAACGGCACGAAATTATCAAATATTATTGCGACCCGCACCAAGCTCGTTTCGTGTTCCCAACTTCGAAACCCTCGGGTCGTCGCTCTGTCCATTGTGCCTACTGGCTACTGCTTTGCATTTCCAGTCCTGAAGCTGCTACATGCTACTGAATAAACACACACATAAACACACACAATTATACTACTGCTCGTAGGGAGAGAGATCGATCAGATGGACTTGGAAGGGACGCCGACTCTCCATGGATGCCACATGCCCGCAGAGTTTGAACCCCACTCACATTGTTGGATGGGTTGGCCGGTGAGTTATCTCTCTTCAGTTGGCTCTATGCAAAAATTAGTCATGTTTTTTTATATATAATTTGATGAGTTAATTTTTATTCAGCTGATTATGTTTTTTAAAGCAACTTTTTAGCTTGCGAAAAAAGAAGAAGAAATTTATGCTCTTACTTAGAACAAGTTGGTACAACACTATGTTAGATGTGTAAATTGAGATTTCTAATGGGTCAGTTGATGCTTTAAATGGGTGTCTAAATGTATCTAACGATTTTTTGTGTTTTTGGGAAGTATAAGTCTTGGAGGGGATGTTAAGCGGGGGACATGCTCGATATGCGTGGAGAGTAGGTCCTATATGGTGGGGTTTGTGGCGCAATAGAAATAGGTCTTTTGACGGAGTCGATGTGATGTCCCATATCACCTGGGGAAAAAGTTGTTTGGCACTTATATTTGTGAACATTTCCTAACAGGCATTTTGAAAATTGGGAGCATGGAGAGTTTGCCAAGTGAATAGTCCTACACAGGGTGGATGGATCGTGACATATGGTATTAGGCCAGCGAGGACACTAGGTCCCTATAGGGGGTGATTGTGGGTTGTTCGGTACTTATATGTGTGGACAGTTTCTAACTGTGTACGTGCGTATTGAAAAGTGTAAGCACGAGTGTGTGCAAAGTGAACATTTTTTACACAGGGTGGGCGGGTCATGACAATGGAAGCCTTCACTTGGGTGCTAAAACAACATATCTGAGTTCTCTTCTTTTTATGGGTTTCAGGGATAATTTGTACACCTGTAGAGGAGTTAATGAATTTTTTGGACAGTATGAAATTGTAGAGTTGTATTCTTTTGTATAACTGTTTCTAGGTTGCACTTCCCTTTGAGTTCCTTTTAATGAAATTTTACATATCAAAAAAAAAAAAAAAAAAAAAATAATAATTATAATAATAATAAAAATTATGCCGCCACTATTTTGTATTAATGTGTTATTAATATCAAGCTAGGACTCTGTGGTGTCTTGCAGTGATGTCACAAAGAGTCAATTTGCTACTTTATTCTACATTTTTGACTATAAATTTTGTCAAATTTTAGGTTAGTCCCTACTCAATTCCTCCTATCACTCTTAATCAACAATTAACATGGACCACATTGGATAATAGCTTCCTTATTATAAACTTATAACTTAAAACAAATGTTCATGAATTTGATGGTTGCAGTATAAATCAATTTTCTTTTCTGTACTACAACACCCCCCAACCCCCCAACAGTAGCTTTCTGTTGGTCCTTATGATTATTCAGATATACTGTATTTTTCCTGTAAGGGCTTTGAGGTCCTTGACACCACTTACGATACTTCATTGTGATTTGCAGGAACGTCAAGATAATTGGCGAGACTGTGCATTCCACGGCCAACGTGTATTTGTCAAAGTAGCAATTGCAATCTCAAAGTTTGAGCCTGTCACTGTCTGTGCCAGTGCTGCTCAGGTTGGTATGAGTTGTAAGTAATGGAAACCTTTCACCATACAATATTTGACATTTTGTACTTGATTGAGTCTGAAAGTAATTTCTTTCACCTGTCAGTGGACACATGCACGCAGTCAGTTACCTCAACATATCAGGGTTATTGAGATGAGTATGAATGATTCTTGGTTTCGTGATACTGGGCCAACTGTAAGCATTTCTACATTTTCTCTTGAAATAAGTTTCTACCGGTGTTATTCTACACTGTGATCATCTTTTTTCATGGAAATATTAACCTCTGGAATGGTGAACTTTGCCTGGATAGTTTGTTATACGCAAGAGCAAATCAAGTTCTGGGAACCCGGAACAGAAAGTTGCAGGAATTGATTGGAACTTCAATAGTTGGGGTGGTAAGGCTGCAAAATATGCTTTCTGATCTCTGCCTTCAACTAGATACTGCTTTTGGAGCTATCATTCTATTAATGTAATACCATCAATTATTATTGTTAATGTGATTCGCTCGGATAATCGAATAACTCATATATTATGGGTATCGTAACTTAAGAAGTGGTCTTGTAATAGTCTGTTGCATCCTATGATATATAGTGGTATGTTATGACAGTCCATGAAACAACCCTAGAACTTGAAGAGCCTAATAGGATTTTCAGACACTCTTGTTTTCTTCTGCTGTCATACTTACAGGCCTACTGCAGGTGGTGATTGAGAAAGGGTATTTTGATGGTCTGGAACAAGAATCAACTGTATCCTGTAGTGCTTAGATTAACCTTTTACTATCATTGTTCTTATGAAAGGAATTGTTTGATATGTGCTGTGATATATTAATTGCATTGTTGCAGTTATGGGGACCCATATGCAGCTTGTAAACAGTAACTTATAAATATCTCTGGATTCTATTGTATGATAGTATTAAAACTTCTGTATGAGAAATTTATGCTCTTTACATTTGGATGAAATATTTTCACTTTGTTATCTTGAATTTCCAGGCACTGACGATGGTTGTTATAGAGATTGGAGTCTTGACCTTCTTGTCGCAAGGAAGGTTAGTGAAATTTTCTGTGTGCAGGTCTGCTGGGTTATAGTTCATAGTTTCACGTGTTTTCTTTTATCAAGTACATTGCTAATTATTCATTCCCCTCATTTAATCTGTAATTTCATTGTTTGGTTGTTAGATTCTGGCAATTGAAATGCTTCCTAGGTTTCCACAGTGTATGATTCTTGAAGGTGGAAGCATCCATGTAGATGGAGAAGGTAACAAGTTCCATATTGTAGAAACAAACTACACGGCTGAATGTGACATTTTTTTTTTTTTTCCAATTTATTCATATTAGATGAGAATTTCACTCTTTATCCTTCCATTAATTTGTCATTCTTGTATTCATACATGCAGAAATGCATACATTTATATTGTCGGACTAGACATTACTGAAATAAATTAATTAGTGGAGGCCCATAACACAAACATTTCCTCTGTTTCTCTTTCAAGAGAAAGAAAACTTATATATTGATGATCGAAGCATGATATGGTGGTTACTGTCTTTAATAATGAATTCATTCCCGTTTGGATTGTATCCTTGGTGCTCTAGGCTTGTTGGCCAGTGTCAAGTCAAAGCCTTCTGATCAATTGTACCAGCAACCGGGCTTAGGTCAAATGCTTCTAATCAATTGTGCTTCAATGTATAGAAAACTTTGAAAATGATATAACAAAACAGTAGGAAACTTGAAAGTAATACCCACTGAATTAGTTGCAAGGTTTCCTTACATGGACACTATTGCACCTCGAGAGTGGATACATGACTTTAGGCATCTCTGGGTGATATAAAGTCACAAGTCAAAAGCAGCTACTCAATTCAAAATGAATAGTCACATTTTTTCATTTTAAATTGAAAAGACAACTTTTTGAATCACCCACAAATTTTTAAATTTTATGTTGATTTAATTTTCAAGTCAAATAAAACAGCACATGTATGAAACAAGGGTGAAAGGCATGCCCCATGTGCTCTATGGCTTTACTGTAATTTAGGAAAAGCTACAAGATGGGATGATTAGATGGAGACACAGATGCAAAGAAAAAAACCATGAAAACCTTTTTGCACAGTTAACTTTGTGTCGGACTGGTTTTAGTAAGGTAATCCTTTTTTGATATGCCTTGATCTTAACATTTATTTGTTTCAAATTATAAGTTCAACATATTTGTTGAAGGCATTTTAAAGAATCTGTTGAGGGGGGCAGGATGAGGTTATTAGCTAGCAAAAGTAGTGGGTTGTTATGACTAGTTGTTACCGCTTACAACCTTTCTATTCCATTTTATGGACCTACATCTATGTAACTACTGGTATTGGCGAGTGTTAAGAAAGTTCACCAAGCTAATGTTTGATAGCCTTTGTTAGTTCCTTAACACCCTCTGTTTCTACAATCTGGTTCTTGGATTATTGGCTATCAAATAGATAAGGGATGAGGGGTGAATTCAGTGAGATGGGTCATTATGACCAGTAGTGAAAGCATATAGGATCTGACGAAGTAATTCTATGACAAAAGGATGGCTTCATCGATAAAAGACGGGACAAGTTGGTGGTGAAAGCTCCCTTTTATGGCATATCATCTCATGCATATCTCTGTTCTCCCTTAATCCTGCACACATTCAATACCATTCCCTCCCCCCTCCCTCTTATGACAAGGAATTCAGTTTGATGTTTTACCATGGGATATTGGATACCACATGCTTTCTACCGATTTAATTCTCCTGTTTTGAAATTAATCAGCATTTATTTATTTTTCCTTCAGGGACTTGCCTTACTACTGAAGAATGCCTCTTGAATAAAAACAGAAACCCTGATTTGACAAAAGAACAAATAGAGCATGAACTTAAAGCATATCTTGGAGTCAAGAAGATTATCTGGTTGCCTCGTGGATTGTTCGGTATGCATCCTATTCACCTTGAATGCTTCATTCAACAGAAAGCATCTCTCCGCTTATTTCATCCATGATTTTTGGTTTACCGGGCAGTTTTTTGCCACATTTTGTTGATTCATGAAGGCTTTAAGCTTTTAGAGGACAGGCCGAGAATGCATGTCTAGAACCTTACCTCACTTGCGAATGTTCTCAACCTTTCTTCATGTGCAAATTCTGCATACAAAGAAACAAACACAAGCGCGCGCACACAGAGAGAGAGAGAGAGAGAGAATGGCACAGGTGCATGGATAGATAGATAAATAGAATGCAGGGACAAATGTGCATGTAGCGACTTAAACCCAATATCTCCCATGATAAAATTTATAATACCAAGTTAGAAGAACAGTTATCCCAAAATCTTAAGTTATCATAAAATGAGCCAACAATATATGTCAAACTCTCATAAGTGTATTTACGACTGTTGGTTGTCTAAATATGTTTGAGTAATAATTATCTTTTTTCTTGTTGAAAAAAGAAGAATTAGGTTTTCCATCTTTTCTGTATATAACCCATGGATGGACAAAGTATGGCCTCTACAGAAGTCCTGGCCTCCGAGAAAGAGATTTTATGTTTAAGTCGAGTCCTCTGGGATCCTCTACGAATATATCTTTTTGTGCTTTTGTGGTTGATCATCTCAATTATTTGCTCACTTATTCTCTAGAAAAAGAAAAAAGAAATTTTTTTTCCCAGGTTTAGCTGTTTATGATCTAGTGAAATTGAAATCCTTCACATCGTGTTTTACAGGTGATGATGATACAAATGGTCATATTGACAATATGTGCTGTTTTGTAAAGCCCGGTGTGGTTATTTTATCCTGGACTGATGATGAATCCGATCCACAATATGAGCGGTCTATGGAAGCCTTTTCTATTCTCTCCAATGCTACAGATGCTAATGGTAGAAAATTGCAAATAATTAAACTCCATGTACCTGGGCCACTCTATATGACAGATGAAGAGGCAGCTGGAATAATGCAGGTAAGCATGGTGTTTGGAATTTTTCTTTAATGCCCTGTATGTTTATGCATTCATACTTTTATTCATACAACTGAATACTAGATTAATCTCTGAGGATATGCTCACTTTCTTCAAATGGCACATTTACCATTCAAAGCTTATGGTTGATTTTCTACTTGCGTGAATCGGTCTGCCATCTCTTCTCAAACCTTCCTTTTGAAGATGCTCTCATTACGGCAATAACATTGTTTAAACTTCTACATTCTATCCATTTCAGAAAAAAACAATAATCTTATGTTGCAAGTTCAATATTTGTATATTGTAGGTTCCTGTAGCTGAGTCACATGAACCATCTGTGAGAATTATGAACCTTACAGTTCGTGTATTTGTTGGTCTATTAATACCTGAGTTAAGATAATGATACCTAATATTTCGTGTCACAGTTCTCAAGAGTATAATAGCTAGTTGTATGTGATTGGGTGACAGTTATTAGCCCTAATTTTTCAAATCTAAGTAGAATTCCACCTATCACAGTTTCTATTGGCTATTGGGCACCGGATCCACAACCTCTGCTAAAATTACCACCAAACAATATCCAATCAGGCAGCTAAAATATAACTACTGTTCTCAAGTAAAACCATTAGATTGTCGGAACAAAACTTAGTTTTCAAGGTACTTGAATGGCTTTGAATACAGGAATAAATTTCATTGTCATTTTAATCCTATCGTCTAGAATTCTACTGTGTTGTAACGGATACGGTGTGTGTTTTTTTGATGCAAATATTTACTTGTAGCATCAGAGTCATGGTTAAATCAGCCTAACAATGGGGACTATACATCGAACAATAGTATGGAAAATAGTATAATGGAAAGTTATCTTATGATTTTGTGGATATGACAATACCAACAACTAAGACTCTGAAATAAAATTTAATCTGTCGTTTTGGTCATGCACAATACATATTTACATAAATATTCTTTTATGGTAGAATATTTGTTTGTTAATAGAGGAAGAAAGATAAGGAGGAGAAATACTGTGCCTGAACAAATAAATTTACATATTCCAGTAATTCTAGAAAGTTTATTAAAAGAAAAATGAGGATGAACCTTAGAGTTTTGCAAAGCCAAAACAGTTCCAGAAGCCGTGAATTTTCTGTAAGAAGTTTGGGCAAGCTATGGTAGTAGATTGCTGGAGGCTAAAAGAGAAGGGTACTATTAAAGCTTTACTTATTAAAAAAAAAAAGAAAAAAAAAAAAGGTACTATTAAAGCTTTAAATTCAAAGGAAGCTCAAGTTTCGCCTTAAAGCTTTATATGTTAGTGAAATTCTGATTTTTTATTTTGGAATAGTTTTCTGCAATCATTTACGGGAAGGACTGCTTTGTTTCATCACTGTGGTTCTTGTTCCACAGTGCATACTTCTGCACGTTGCTACATGGGAACACTAGTTTCATAGATGCTTTGACCATGGTAAAAGGTCAGTACTGCACAAGCATATGCCCTTCGTCATTGGGCGTTCATTGAGTTGTTTGTAATTAATTTTTGTTGGATAACTCTAATATTGCTTAATTTTCCTTCAGTGTTGGGCAACCTGAATAAGAAGATAATCATTTGTTTTTCAATTGCCTAGCCACTTAACTTAAAATCTTGTTTTAAACTCAGAGCTTTTGTTTTAATTTTTTTTATGAAAAACATTTTGTTATAGTGCAAGTGAGAGAACTAAGAGAATCATGGACTCTTGGCTCATGTTCTTGTTGGGCTATTAAAACATGAGATGATGATGATGATAGGTTTGGTCCCAACGACATCATGGTTTTAGTTGAACACAATGGTTATATTTTAGCCATTTTATCGGGTAGCTTCTGGTAATATCAGTAGAGGTCGGTCTTTATGTGTTCTAGCACAATAAGTGTTGTGATAGGTGGAGTCCTAGTTGGATTTGAAAAGTTAGGCTGGTAGCCATAACCAGCCTATAGATGCGTGTTATATGCTCAAAAAATTTGTCTTGTAGAACAATTGGTAGGGACTAGAGAAGAGAGAGCTTACTGAGGTACCTTACTAGCTGTGAACATAGATAAAGATTTAATTGTTACTTTAGTCCTACTATGCCAGCAGATACAATCCTTGTCATTTGATGTAAATATTTTACAGTATCAAGCAGCCTTCTTACTTTGGGAGATAGTTCAGAGACTTCTCACATTATTTTGGGGGTTTCGTCATATTTTTAAGGAGTTGAGCTTATTAACTCTTGAACCTTTGGTTTTATTATTATGAGAAGCTATTAAAATCAATTCGGCTTCCAGATTTCTCATCTGCATTAGCATTGCATGATCATTATATTATATTTCCTAAGCAACTAACTCTTGATTTACCCCCTTTTTATTTTAGATTGTGTACGAGAACATAATATATACACACACATACATGCATACATATATACATACATACATATATAGTGCATCTTTTTTTATGTTTTTTTCCCTACCTTTTTTCTTTTTGGGTCTTTAATGTTTGGAGAACAGGAGTGTGAGGCTAAAGCAAGACTTCCTGGTACAAGGCTTGCTGCTTCATATGTAAACTTTTACATTGCCAATGGAGGAATTATAGCACCACAATTTGGGGATCAAAAGTGGGACGATGAAGCTGTTCATGTCCTGTCGCAGGCCTTTCCGGATCATGAAGTAAGCAATGTTTACTCTTTGCTGCTTGCTTTATCTATTTACTTTGCAGTCTTCATCTTTAAAACGCAAAAAGGGGTAAATTGCTGAAGTTATCCAGTTTATGCCATCTTTAAGAATGCTATTGTAGAAGAAGAGGGTGTACATTCAGAAAGGCCAAAGGGTTTGAATCATGCAAAAATTTTAACGGTTACGCAAAAATTGTTGCCATCAGCAAAAATAATAATATACCATCCAAGTAATGTTTGTTGTTGAAATTCTTATAATGATCTTCTTGTGATATGGAACGGAATCATACCAAATGCTGCAAAAAGAAAATCTAAATCATGTATATACATTTTAACTAAACAATAATCGTCTTTTCATGCAAAATATCCTATGCCCTTTCTTCATTACTAAACATACTTCATTTTGGGCCTTCTGTTCAGGTGGTAAGAATCGAAGGTGCCAGAGAAATTGCTTTAGCAGGTGGAAATATACATTGTATCACACAACAGCAGCCAGCCTGTCCGTGAGTGCACTGAAGCATGACTAAGTAGATAAATAGATCGGCGGAGGTCTAGTTGTTTCATTTGTGATGAACTAAATAATGGGTACTTTGTGATTAATCACTTTGAACGTGTGTGGAAATGGTGAAGGCAACATTTTGAGCCAAAACAGGACACTTAACCAAATAATTACTGGTACACCTCTTGAAAATAGGTACAAGCATAACTTTAAGTTTTTTTGTTTTGTTTTTGACTCAACCTGAGTTTGATCAGTTACTGTTCTATTCATAAAAACTTTTAAAGGGGTTTGTGGAGGGTCAGAGGTGGTTTCCATGATGGTGCTTAAGCACTGAGTTATTTATTTAATTTTTCAATTAAAATGTTAAGCTTACATTTAAAAAACTTGAATTATGTATAAGAATTATTGTCAGAATTAAGGCGAATTGGAATTGTTTATGATCTTCTTCAAAGAATTGTTAGGAAGAAGTTCTACATGTGATGGCTACTCAACAGAAAATTAATTTGCTAGATCTTTGTGAAAAATGGGAATTTAATTTTCGCCTTTGTGAGGTGTTCATGTCAGTGATACTTTGTGCTCTTGGTTTGTGAAACGATTTCACATCTTATCGATCGAGTATTTTTTGAAAGATGGTATAAATATCGATGGGGGACTTAAAGATGAGATGCTTAGATGGATTTCATTCTTATTTAAACTGATCAGTTTTTGTATCGTTACTTTTATTTTTCTGAATCCTTAGATTGATTTCATTCTTATCAAATTCAACAATGATTTCTATTTACAAGGCAAATGACTTCAAAGGCTGATTCACCGAAAACAATGTACGTATCTTTAGTGTGGTGCTGCTATTACCAAAACTATTTTTAATGCAAGGTGATATAATTTGATATTTTATTTAAATATGCTTTAAATTATAGAATCTTTGAAAATAAACAAAATTAGGTATGAGCTTGAGGCCAAAGTAGGAGCAACTGTGACTACGTATTGTATACTAACATCTACTGTAATAATACTGACAAAATTTGGATGTTTAAATCACTCCAGAATTTTAATACATGAGTGCTTTGAAAAGCTAAATCCAATCGGGGATTGGGTTATCAACTCCATTTAGCATAAAAATTACTTTTATCAGAAGGTTGTATTTTTATTATTCTTTAAAAATATGAAGCAAATCACTAAATTTTTATTATACTCCTCTAAATTATTATTAAATGATAAATTTATCACACTATTGGTTTGTTTTGAGATATGCATAATATATTGCAATGCAAATGGGTCAATATGCAGATCAATATACTCTTGGCAATGTGCTAAAGTCTAAAACTTACCATCACCATCGAGCATTACAAGAAGTTTGCAAGTAAAATTTTTTTTGGCAAACTATAAGTTTGCAAGTTCTTTTAGTACGTTATAAGTTAATAAGTTATTAAAATGTTTTATTAATATTTATGTTATAACTGTTTTGAGATACTTAATTGATATTGGTATTAATTGTGCAAATAAATGATCATTCAAATTCCTATCACAAGAAACGCACTCGACCTTCGACTTATCATTAAGAATTCCGTTGGTGCAAACTTAATAATATAGTTACAACTTTTTCATATTTTATCTCAGCTAATTATTGAGTTTAATAAGATTTTTCTTTTTTTTTTTCACTCGAATTGCTAAATCCTAAAAGGGAGGCAATACGAACATTTCACTTTTCAACATTTGTACTAAAATCTTAACAATTTTAACACTAACTTTACAAGTAAATAATTATTATTTTTTAAATAACAAAACTGCCCTTCCAGATTTCCTCAACTTATTTCTAATATTTAAAATTTTAGGTCTCTTTTTACACTACTAAAAAAAAAAAAATTAGGTTGTATAAATTTCCTATTTTGACTGGACCAAAAATAAAAAGTAACTATTAAAAACTACAGTTTCTCTTTTGACATGAGAAAAAAAACCTCAAAAAATATATTTATTGAAGAAATTATCTCTTTTGTCAAGATCCAAAAAAAAAAAAAAAAAAATTATCTCTTTTGTCAAGATCCAAAAAAAAAAAAAAAAGAGTACCAAAACAAGATGATTAATTTTAATAAATTATCTCTTTTGATCTATAAAAAAATTACCTTAAAAAAAATTACCTCTTTTGACGAATGAAAAAAAAAGTTAACTTTGTTCGGATCCCCTCTTGTGGAGGGGATTCTGTGTTTAATCTTGGTTCTTTACTTAGATTGTTAAAGCAACATGTTAGATCGTATTTCAAACTAATTACTACTTTTCTTGTTTAGTAAAAATATATATACATATGTAAATGACATTGCAGGACTGAATAAAATGTTAAGTGTCTCAACTTAAGTGTCTTTTTCAGGAAGTATTAATTTTTAAAGGGACATACTAGATATTTATTGTCTTTTTAAAAAGTTACTTATTCTTTTAAGTTTTAAATATTAAAAATTAAAATTTTAAACTGCTAGGAGGAGTAGTGGGTTAGTATATGGGACTGAATAAAGTGCTTCAAAAAAACAGTGAACAATTATTTTTAGAACAGACCCCCAAAAAAAAAAAAATAAAAAAAATAAACCATGACAATTTTATTTTTTTTGGATGGAGGAAGTACAACCCAACCAAAAAAAACACACAACAATTTGGGCTTGTACGGTGGCTTGAAGCATTATTGGCACCCACTTTTTACAGCATTGCCGCTACTAATTTTTAGGGATTATTACATATAAATGGGGTTAGAGTTTCATATTTACCAAGAGGCTGAGTCAAAGTCTCATATTTCTTAAAAATGAGGTTGACTAAATTGATGACATGGCACATGAATTATTACTGTTTAAAACATGTGGTGCCTAAAATGCCCTTCTCACTATTCCAGCACATTTACCTTACTGCCCCCGTTTAATTTAGTCACTCAACTTGTTGCCCTAAAATACACAGTCACAAATCCAGCGAAGCAAGCCCAGGCAAACACAGCATCACCGAACATGGAACCCTAACCCTCCCTCATCTCATTCGTGAAGAGCCCTTAAGAGTCCTCTCTCTCTCTCCCCCCATCTCTGTAACAGGATTGAAGCGTAGCCGTTGAGCCCTAACCCTCATTCAAGCCCTCTCTCTTTCCCCCTCTGTAACAGCAAAGCACTTCTCCACGTCTAACCGTCGTTGGTGCACCCTCTCTGTAACCCAGCGAAGCACTTCTCCACTTCTGCCATTCATTTATTGTTGTTCTAGTAATATGGTAAGTACTCTCTCCCTCTTAACACACACACGTTTATATTTTAGATGATTATGGTCCTGATTTAGTGTTATAATATTTTTTTTTTTTTTTTTTTTCCAATTGGATGTCTGATTTTCATGGAGGTTATGTTTATATATATTCTCCTCTTATAATTTCTATTATGCAATCATATATATATAATTTCTATTCTGCAATCAAGATTGTTGTTGCTCTGTTTGTTGTATATGTTTGAAATGTGCGTAACAAAATGTTGCTCTCTTGTGCGTGACAAAATTAATTTTTAAAACTCAGTTTTATCCCACCAACAAAGGCAAAATTTTCATAAAGTAGATACTTAATTAATCAAATGTTTTTTTTTTTATTTTTTATTTTTCTTCTTCTTCTTTTGTAATTAGGTTTGCTTGTTTTTGAAGAGTTCATGCTTTCTTTATACGTTGACTGAACTGAAATCCCAAATGTTATCCTACAATCTTTCCACTAGCATGGGTTTTCATACTTAAAATACTCGGAATTTGCTGAAGAAAACATAATTAAACAGGATAAAAAACAAATTTCCATGCATGTCCTTTGTTACCTGCTGAATTTTTTTTTATAGAACATTAATCTGATCTTAAAACTTAAACATTGTACTGTTAATGCCTACCTGTGTATAGTAGAGATTCAATGTCCCTAAATCCAAATAATTCATGTTCTTTAAATTTACTAGGACCATGTGGAAGCAAGTGGCAGTACGTGTGGTGCCTACAGGCTTTTTGTTGGATTTCACTAGTTAGCTAACTAGCTTGTGCCAAGGTAACAAGCTTAAATCCTATCTTCATAAGTCATTTGCTCTGGAGACCTTATGATACAATCAATGAATGTAAACTGTAAAGAGGCATGCATGTGATAGTCTTTGGGTAGGGACACTTGTTATCAAATGTTTGTGAAATCTACATTCCCATTTGCATTTGCTTAGTAAAAGAATTGTTTAAGATTACTAGTATTGGTTCTACAATATTAAATTAAAAACAAGTTTTTCATACATACTATATTTGTTGTGGTTTAGTGGTTGAAATGTAATTAAATATAAAATTTGAGTTTGGTTCAATTAAATGAAAATGCTTTATAATAATTTCATGATTAATATCTTGGGTGTTAAGAATCACTAATAAAGATTTTAGTTCTCAATATAAAACAAAAGGGAAGAAGCTACTCTGTTTGTGCCTTATAGATGAAGTAACAAATCTTCATGGTTATGCTATGATTTGTGCCTTAGCTTACAAGGTTGGAAGTCTTTGGTAAATGTTTTCACTAGGGAAACATAGCATTTTAGAGCATGTCAGTGATGGCCTTGGTGTCTGATAATTACCAACATTTAAATAAATTAGATAAATAATTCTTTTTAGTAGACTGATTGAATATGTTAACATTTTTAAACGATTAAAAAATTTAGTCTAAGATATTGCCATGCAATGACCAGAAATGGAAAAGATTTCTTCACCATCTGTTCATGAAATTTGAATGGTTTTAAACAACAAATTTCTAGATATGCTTACAAGTTCCCCCCGCGCCCCCCCCCCCCCCCCCCCAACCGGTGAAGAGTGCAAGCTGCTTTATACCTAAGCCCAAATTCAGTTGAAAATACAAGACACGAACAATAATGGGAAAACTGTTATATGACCTTTACGTCTAAATTGTATTTACGGGAAAAGAAAGAGAGAATGAAAGAAAGAAGTAAATTTCGATCAAAATTCTGTCCAAGACTGATGCTTTGGAAGTTATTTAGTTTCTAACGAGATGAAAAAGAGAAAATATAAAGCAGTAGGTAGTTATCTAAACACCAGTTATATAAATAATAATAAATAAATAAATTAAGTACTTATTCAGTTTTATCAAAAGGGATGCAGAAAAACTCCTCCGAAGATAAACATATTGTCATAAAACAAGACATAGCATTGGTAATACTAATACCTCTTCGGGCGTTGATTCTCTTCTTGAATAGCCGAATTGGGTCATAACCCTCCAAACACGCCGCATAAATAATTATCCTGACATTGAAATTCAAGCAATTTTCAACCCATCAAAGAACCAAAACAAATAGCCCGAACTTTCTATATATATACACACACAGAAAAACAAAAATTGGTAAGAGGGGGACATAGAAGGTGATCTCTCTGGCGGCTCTGGGGCTGCAAAACCTGCCACTCTCGTCAATTCTGGGCAGCATTTCTCTGGGAGATGAGAGAGAGTTTGCCGATTTTTTAAGAACTTCCCCAACAGCCGTGAGAGCTGAAGAAGTGCGAAGAGGAGAGCTTAATAGAGAAATTAAGCTTTCTGAGAATTAGGTTTTGAGTAGCATTCTCTATACCAGATCAGAATATGACACCTCTTTGCATTATTTGGAATCAAAGTAGAAATAGAAGTTAGAACTAAATTGAAGAGTAACATTACTTTTTGTATAAATTGAAGAGTAACACTACTTTTTTATCTAATATATTCTACACCCGTGCATATATATAAATATATTGTGGAACATACATATTAAATTGATGACTTAATATGAATGCCACAATTAAACACACTACCTTAGGGGGGGTATTCCCAAAGTTTCTCATTTTATCTGTTCGATTTTCTAATAATAGATAATAAATAATCTCCTATTGTGTACAGAATCACAACACTTACTCCAAAAACATATTATATATATATATATATATATATATATATATATATATATATATAATATTGTGAGTTGAGTTGAGAATTTCACTTGATAGAGCTTTGATGTCAAATAAATAAAGAAAGACAGGTTTCATAAATGAGGAGTGAAGAGGTTGAGGGAACACTGACAATATTTCTTTGTATTTTGCTCTGTTTTGAAAAGGCTACATGAGAGAGCTCTCTCTCTCTCTTTGAGGTGGATCTGATTTTTTTGGTCCAAAACTCTGGCACTACAATCAAACCAAAGACACCACCTTTATGTGAAGGTGAATACGGATACTACATGTCTTTGCACTAGGAAAGGAATCAAAATCAAAATCAAAATCAAAATCAAAACAGCTAATGGGTGATTTAAAGTTTTCAATGGGAAACAGATAAGTGTAGTACTACTAAAGTCTGTTTTAAGAGAAAAGCCTTCAAACATGGTAGAGTTTATAGATTTTTGTGGGGATTGCCTTATTAAATCTGCCTATGCTCTTTTAGCTGCATTATATATATTTCTCGCAATCGAGATATACATGGTTTTACCCCACTAATTCTCGGAGCTCCCAAAGAATTATTTGTACTCATGAAAGCGTAGTCTCAAAGAATTATTTGTACTTATGAGGAATCTAATTTTAAATCTGGTGCTTCATGTACTTTTATTTTTTGATTTTCAATTGTATCCAAACATCTTATTTTTTTATATTTCCATTAAAATGGTATCTCTCTTTGATTTTGGATCATGTGTGTGATTATGAAATTATGTGTTGATTTGTAAGGTTGCTTTCAGCTTTGGACAAAAATAAAATGAAATGCTCTTTGAATTATCGACTCTCAATTAACTATGTTGGCAGCCTATTGCAATCGATTAGAGTGATTAATAAATTCTTAAAATTTTGTTTCTTGTGAGGGAGGGTCTAATTTTGTAATTTTGCTTTAATGGTATTTGATAGTAACAGAAAAATTCAGTAAGTTAATATTTATATTTGGTTTTATACTAAGTCGCATAAAGTGGTAGATAGAGCGCAAAAGCAACAAAATTAAATTACAAACAAATCGTGAGAATGGGAGCTAGATTTACACCTGTTAAAAAGAATTGTATAACCTAGATTTTAACACAAACACACTTGTCATAGGCTAGCTACACCTATTGTAACTTCTGCGGCTAGCTATTGGTCACTGTTCTTGTTTGTTTGAGTGTGTTTGGATCATAAAAAAACAAACATATTTCAGCCACTACATGAATAGCTTCCCAATGAGATTGAGGAAAAACTTCAAGACAAAATGGCTGAGCTAAATCTAGTTTATGATTATGTTAAGTGCTGTTAGGAGGAGATTGAAACAGCACTGGACCGTCAATAAGCACATCAATCTTAAGAATCATAGTGTGAACTATACTCTAATACAGGTCCATAGAACACGTGTGCCATTAGGGGAGAGAAAACCCTAACGTACCTCGATTTGGAAGGAGAAAGAGAAGGAATGAGAGAAATGGTATAATAATACTTGTTTAACCTTCCAAACAAAAAACCTTTAGGAGTCATCCAAACCAACATGAATTTGTTCTAATTTTTACAAGAGTTAGGCTGAAATATTTAAACATAACACGACTTTGTCATATATATGTATGTTTATACATGATTTTAACACACACACACTGGCCATAAGCCTAAATACCACACATTAACTAGTACATAATGGAACACATACACAAAACTAGTAGTAATCATGATGCAACTAATAAGCTCCATATGATCAAAGTAGTTTCACGGCTTATTTATCATTAAGCAGTAGTTGCCATGGACTGATATAGATATATATTCAAAGCATATAATTTTAAATTTTTAAGCTCATTACATCAACAAACTATCAAGACTTTCATTTTATTTTTGTCCAAATCTGAAAGCAACCTTACAAATCAACACATAATTTAATAACCACACACATGATCCAAAATCAAAGAGAGATACCATTTTAATGGAAATATCAAAATTTAGTTAAAACCATTAATACTGACCATGGTTATATCCATTTGAAATTTTAAATTCACATTGTCAGTTATAACCAATACACACCACAATATTGGTCGATAACTATGAGTAGTATCAATTCACTCCGTTAGAAAATAATATCTATGTAAAATCAGCTATATCTGTATCTTCCTACAAAAAGAGTCAGACTAAATCAGCTATATCTGTATTCAAGCTATATATTCAAGGCTCTTTGATGACTGCAGACTAAATCCTCAGCAGAACGTAGGAATTTAGGAGTTAAAATTCAAAGCCACCAACACATAGGTAGTCCAATTAGTTTTTATGTATAATTAATTATTATAACTCAATTTAGATCAAGAATTATTCAAGATTGTTGCCTCTTTCTCAAATGGCATGTAGAGTATACCTCTGTGTAATATGTCTTTAGGCATCTACGCACATGATAGAATTGATGCAAAAGCTAGCAAACTCTATGAATGAGGCTTTTTTAATATATGTATTTAGCATTAATTTATAAAAAAAATGTATTTAGTATTAATTTATTATTCCAACATTCCCTTGTACTTGTCTCCCCCATTTTCAAGACTTACACATATAATATTTGTGTGTGAAAAATAATCAACACTCTGCTCTCTCTCTATTTAACTCTCAATTTTTTATTTTCAATCTATATTGTCCCATTTAACTCTCTATTCATCTCATAATCTCCCTCATCTTGTATATATGTTTGTTGTACACATAGTGATACAATTATCTAGTAATCAATGGCATTGATTTTGTGGTTGTATTTTGATTTGAAAAAGGTCTGTAGTGTGTGTTTAGGAAAAGTTTAATCTTGACACCGCCTATCCCTATTGAGGGAATTAGTAGTGTTTCGGTGTAAATAGATCTCTAAATTACATTATATAATTATGATATTTAATTGTTTTATATTTCATTTTTTTTTGAACTTCATATTTAGTTTTTTTTTTTAAACTAATGAGTCAATTTTCGAAGCAGTTGGACAAATGGATGAGAGACAAATTATATGCTATTGTCGATTTGATGGGAAAATTGACAAAAATGAGAATGGGGAAATTATATACATCGGCGGTGTCACAGACCCTTTTATGATTACAACAACAACAACATACGAATCATTTATAAATGAGTTACAACAACGTTCATCTTCAAACATGAGTGGTAAAGTCATATATTATACCACCGAATCTAACAAGAATGAACTTTTGAGGATGACGGGAGAATCTGGATTTAGAGTGATGCTTCTAGTGAGTGGTCCCATGCTAAATGTGTATATGGAAGATGCAGAGCCTGTAATTGCATCATGCACAATTTCTACTGATCATAGTGAGAGGTAAGACACATATATTTAAAGTAATACATTGATGTATGCGCTGCATAGGTTATGTGATTTTTAATATACCTTTTTATCCACTTGTAGACAATTTGTTGAAGCCACATCGCCAATTGGTCTTCTACAAAGTGTTGCGTCAACGTCTTCATTTCCTCCGATAAATGCGCATCGGGATTCTTTCCGACACATTGATGACATTCTTTGCGTGGATCAGCTTTTTGACAGCCCAAATGATTTCAAAGATGCACTCGTTTTGTTTGGTCTTCGTAATCATTTTCGGTTCAAGTACTTGGACAATAGCAGAAAATATTATAGAGTTGTGTGCGAGGTTAATAATTGTCCATGGAAATTATCAGCTGGTTGTGAAGGAAGTGGTGATATAGTGAGAATCAAGCGGTTTAATAATGTTCACACTCACACTGCTCAAGACATTTCAGATTATAAAGCCATTTTTTGGTCGAAGGAAATGGGTCGAGCTATTGTGAACAAGGTTAGGGACAATCCTAAATGCACCCCCAAGACTATTTCCACAGACATAAACGGTGAATTTTCTGCTAAAATGACTTACATGCAATCGTGGAGAGCTAAGGAGTGTGCACGTCATATCATTGAGGGAAATCCCAAGGATAGCTATATTTTAGTCCCGTGGTTGTGTGAACGAATAGCAGAATATATTCCTGGGACAATTACATCGTGGGAGTGCACGGATGATAGGAGATTTAAGCGAGTGTTTGTAGCTTATGGGTGCTCCATACGAGGTTTCATCAACTATTGCAGGCCCATGTTAGCAATCGATGCTTGCCACTTGAGTGGCAATTATAAAGGAACAATGCTTGGTGCAACGGGGTTCGATGCGAATGATGGCTTGTGGCCTTTGGCGTATGCTGTTGTTTCTTCTGAGAATGATGATGATTGGCATTGGTTCTTGAGCAAGGTGAAAGAGATTCTAGATGGTCGCATTGTGACAATCTTAACCGACAGGCATCCGAGCCTAATAAGTTGTATTAGAGATATTTTTGGCTCCCAGTACCACTCATGGTGTCTTCGTCACCTAACGGCGAATTTTTCTACATCCATTCTTGGGAGACAAAGTTTAGGATTGAGGGCTTCGGGTAAAGAGCATGCGAAAAAATTACTCGATAAAATTGCATATGCTCGAACTGTAGATGAGTATAAGAATGCATTGGCTGCCATGCGGGTATTTCGAGGGGAGTTATGTGATTGGGTTTTGGCGAATTCACCTGAACATTGGTCAAATGCTATGTTTACTTCCAAGCGTTGGGATAAATTATACACCAATCAAGCAGAGTCCTTCAATGCATGGGTGAAAGAAGAGAGGGTTTTTTCAATCACAAGGTTGATGGATACACACATGCAAAGACTCAGCAAATTTTTATACCAAAAGAGTTTGGACGTTCAGAAGTGGACTATCCCGGTTGGGGATCGTATTGAGGAGAAAATAAAAAAAGAGCAAGAGTTAGCTCTTGGTTTTCAGTCGATGCGTGTTTCGCCTACTGAGTGTACAATATATGATCGAGACAGAAAACCATTCAGGGTGGTATTTGGCAGTGAAAATTCTTGTAGTTGTTTGAAGTGGACCATGAGTGGGATTCCTTGTTCGCATGCATGCTATGCCATCCATGAATTATCTTTAAATATTTATGAGATGGTTGATCCATGGTTTAGGGTTGAAACACAACAAAAACTATGTGAACATCTCATGTCTTCTGTCCCCATGCATGATATGCCGAATGCAGCTGCTGTTGCTGCAGCTGACGGTGAAGGTGCTTCCCATCTTAGGCCTCCTGCGGTAACACGTCCCCCTGGACGACCTCGTATTAAACGAATCGAATCACAATTTCAAAATGTAAGGTCGTTACACTGTTCGCGATGCGGCGAGAATGGTCATAATCGTCGAAAGTGCAAGGCTCCTATACCTGGATAGAATAGTTATATAATTGCTAATTCTAGTGGAGTTATTTTGTAAGGTGTTAAGGCCTTAAATATGGAATTATTTTGTAATTACTATTAATTCCTTGGAGCTCCCCTACTGCATTAGTATAACTATGTTGTGATAGTATTTCTAACTTATTTAGAAAACATTTCTAAGTATGATGTAACTTATTCTAAGTTGAATCTGTATTATTCGTCTGGTGGTTTATTTTGGTATTGAAATTATTTTCCTGGGTCCTCGTATGAGTCTCATGTGGAGTGTTATTTAAAAATCATAGGTGTGTGAGTTTTCTGGCAGCTGGAGGGTCGTGAAAGCAAGGAGGTTATGGGATTATGTGACAATGGACGGGCTTACATGTTACATGCTTACGGAAGGCTAGGAAAATAACATCATATTAAAGTCATTATGACTTGTTTCCTCACTATTAATTCCTTGGAGCTCCCCTACTGCATTATGACTGTTATTTCAACCACAATTTACCTCGTGAGTCTCTCTCTTCCTCACTTTCTTTGTGTCTCAAAAATTATATGAACATTGTGTTTACATTATCAACATTGTTTGACAGATGAGGCTGAATGGATAAATCAGTACAAAGGAAGAGTGTTCAGTTTAAACGACAAGCCTGTGGTGCATAAAATTTGGCTGCCGAATGAGGAATGCCCCAGATTGGCAATGTCTAGAGCCTTTGGGGACTACTTTATTAAGGATTTTGGACTTATATCCGTCCCTGAAGTGAGGTGTTGTCACATATAACCAGCAGAGACCAATTTGTTGTGTTGCGAACCGATGAGGTATGTATGGCACTTTTTGGTATTTATCACTTGTTCTTTTTTATACAATGACAAAGAAAAAGACTTGTTTGTTTCTCTATTAAATGTCCAAAAGATCACGTGAACGAATACGTTTCAAACTCACGAGCATAATTGACAATAATCACTTCAAATTATGTGATATCAGTTATTATTAATGAGTTTACAGGTTTTTGTTTTGGCTCAAATTGATTGGATTTTGAAATTAGTATGGATTTTTGAAGTTAATCTTAACATGCTGTGATCCTTGTTTTGTAAGCAGAATTCTTCCTATCTCTTCCTTCAAACCTTATTTAATCGGTAAGAAAATTTATTGATTTAAATTGATAGAAGAAAAATTGTGTGTTTAAGCTTCCAATGGACTTGGTTTCATGCAAATTGTTTGAGAATTTCTTTTTTATTGATTTTTCAAAGTGAAGTATGTATTTCTGGGAAAAATTGTTTCAAATAGATTTTTGGGCTTCCTTCTGATTTTTTGTTGTCCAAATTGTCCAATCATGTTTGATAGAATAAAAAAATAAATAAACAATAATAAAAAGGATTTTGCTATAATCTTAGTTGACTACTGTTACCCCATTTATTTATTTATTTTGTTTAGAGTCTTGCTTTTGGTTACTAGCGCCTAATAAAAAAGTTGTTTGCTCATATGTCCCTTATTTTTGAGTTTTTTCATTTAACCATCTCCACTTGTACAATATTTTGGTGTTATATTTTGTTTAATTGATTTGCATGTACTTCAAATGTAGTCTTCCCGCTAGGGGCTGGGAAGAGATAACAACGGGAGCGTCGATTGCATGGCTATCAAGTACATCAAATTTGTAAGTTATATGGTCTTTATGTTCGATAAAAATCTTTTATGATTGCACATTTGTAATGCTTTTTATACTCATACTCGGGGGGGTCACATGCCTTTAAGTGACCAATTTTATGGTGTATCATGAACTTTATTACCTTATTGCTACATCGGCCCATGTGGAGCCCATTTTTTTTTTTCTTGTTTTAAAATGTTGAAAGCATGGGAGTATGGGATCATCGTATGTGGAGGTTTTGATTGATTGTTGTGGAGGAGAAGTTGTTGATATGTTGTTTAATGAGTTAATGCAAGTTCTCACGTTCTTCGTACATGTTGATATGTAGAGGTTTTGCTAATTTTCTCTTAAACCCAACTCATTCATCAACGCTCTCTTGCTCTCTCTCTCTCTCTCTCTCTCTAGTCTTGTTCATCGTTTTGCTAGGAATCTACTCTATTTTTATACAATTTTAATCCCTATATATATATATATATATGCTGTTCCTAAAACATCAATTTTGGATTCAGGAATTGGACACAAAAATGTCGCGATTCCCTCTCTCCGATCAGAAACTTCGAAGGCAAAATTTGTGCGAAAAAGTATGTGTTTCCATCTGCTTGTGTGTGTTTATGTATGTTCGCCAACCAATTGATATTTTCGGCTTTCTATTTCGTTGCAATGAATTCAAGAAAACGAGAAAAGTTTAAATTCTTTTAGCTTTTGTATCGAATTCCTTTTGATTTTCTTTCTTTTGTTTGTCTTCGTGAATTTGTTGGACTTTTGGATTTACTGTGAACTACGGTTTCTTCGTCTACTATTTGAATGTTTCTTTTTTTTAGACGATATCTAGTGTTGTTTGCAATATCTTTAGATTTTTGTGGTTGATGTTCCCATTAATTTCTTGGATTTTGATTTTTTTTCACGTAAGGGTTTCTTTAGCATATTTGGATGGTTTATTGTCTACGAATATGAGTTTTCAGGAATTTAGGGTTTATTTGTTCAACTTGTATAGATTCTGCACGACTATAATTTTTGACATCATTAGATAATTTTTTGGATGGTTTGGATTTCCATGGGATTCAACATGAAGATTCAGGGAAAACACACTCAATATGTTTTTGTTTCTATTTGTATAAATTTGGATTTACGTAGTTCTTTCTTTATTCAGAGAAATAGACCCAATAAAGTTTAAATAATCAATAGGTCCCATAATCTCTTGAGAGAGGTGCAATGAGATTGTGATCAAAGACACATCAAATAGAAGAAGTGAATTCAAATATATTTGATAATGAAGCAATAGGTATAGCCATTTTTGGGCTTTCCTTTCACAAGTCCTCATTGGGGGGATCCACAACACTTCTCCCTTTTCCCCTTATAACTTCCTCCCACTAATTCGAATTAGGTCTAGCCGTCCTCCTTCATTCTCCATTTTTGTGTATGCTTAGTAGTGGGCTTAGAAGAGCAAGATTGGGTTGAATGACCAAAAGATTCACAATCTAACATCTGTGACTTCTCATATAGCTTCCTCTCTATATATACCAGTCTCGAACCTTGACCAGTGGGTTTATAATTCAAACCATAAGCCAACAGGCTATAAGGTGAACCGGTAAGCATTTTCATTTCTCCAGTTGTTAGGTTTCTAAGTGAGGAAAATAGATAATAATGTAATATTATCATATGTCCTATTGTCTTGGATTACAAAGAATTTTTACTCGAAAGGAACCAAAATAGTTGTAGAAGACAGTAACGATAGTTTCAGGTTTTGTTTTTGTGTTCCATATAAAGAAAATATTACATTTCAAAATATACTCTCTTTATTTATTTAATTTTTTTTTTAATATCTTTGCCTGCCTTCTTTTGTCATCGCAATAGGCTTCACACTAATCTTGCTCCTGGGTTTTAAACTCTATGGCTGATTTTTTCCTGTCATTTTGCCTTTATATATATATATATATAGGTTTTATTGGAAATTCACACTAATCTTGTTCTTTTGGGATGGCAGCTGGATAGGTTTATTCCCAACCGATCTGCAATGGATTTTGATTTTGCACATTACATGCTCAACGGTGGGATGGTAAGAAAAGAAAGCCCAACACCATGCTCTCCAGCCAAAGAAGCTTACAGGAAGAGGATCCTTGCATTTTGTGTGGAAAAAGAAATTGGGCTTCTGTCAGTTTCTCTAACTGCATTTTGTGTGGAAAAAGAAAAACTTAAAGAAAAACATGGGTTTAAATGCAACACAACATGCATTTTTATATCCCATTTAAGTTCTGATAAAGTTGGTAGTTTCTTTTACGTTTTTTTTACTTTGGAAGAGAACAAAGTCCAGTTTAGTGGTGAAGTGCAAGGTTGAATGAGGCATGTATCATTGAAGATTTTATTATACTGATATAATGCATAAAGTGAACTACTATGAAGGATTATGGCTTGTATAGTTGGCCTATATTTTAGAAAACAAATATTAGAACTAAGAGTATTATATTCTTTATTTGGAGTGAAATGAAATGTATTTATTGCAAATTGTCACATTTCTCATGATCTAGGCATTAGATTTGATTTTTCTGGTGCCACCTCTCCATCCTGTACTCTATTTTTCATGGTTTTTCTGAACAGCTAAGGACTTTGCAAGACGGGCATAGTTCAAGGGTTGGTTCTCTTGATATCCAATGACAATCACACACTGTATTAGAAAACTGTATTAGAAAATTAAAAGAAACCAAAAACTGTCTTGGTATGGATGATGGCTTTAGGATACTGCTGAAGAAAATACTAAAAAAAAATAAAATAAAATAACTGTGTTGGTGTAGGAGTGATCCCAAAGTAGGGTTATTAAAGAAATTAAAGACTCAAAAGGTGATGTTTAACTGGTTAATCTTGAAATATAGTTGCAGTTTCTTTGTCCAGTTCTTTTATGATCCTGTTTTCTTACCCCTTGCTGAAAATATCCTATACTGGATCTTGGTTCCCTTTACTATTTAGTCTATTACTACTTACATATCTTGTTCACTGATAATCAAGTTAAATTATACTTGTACTTGAGAATCCAATATAATTAATTGGTCTTTCTGGGTGTATACCAAAATTTACATGAAAATACAAAACCTTTGGAATTAAATTAGGCGGGTCACGGGGATTTAGACCTCCATTACCCAAATTAATTGTATGGGAAAGCAGTATTGTTTATCAGGAGTAGGCGGAATTAAGTTGCCTACTGCCCAAATTAGCACTAGGCTCTCTTATCTTGGTTTTGTTTATTTATGTATGTTATTTTGTTCGTACGTTTTGGTAGTAGTTTCTTCGCTACTTTTTGTTTGTCAATGATGATGATATCTATTTGATTCATAAATGACATTATAATAGTTTTGTTAAAATAAAGACATTAGATTAGTAAATTGTAATTACAAATAGGGATGTCAATAGTCTGCCTCATGACAACAATGGCACTATTTATAACTTTTTCAAACACTAAGGCTTTTTCTTGATGATATGACCATACCTCTTTATCTGCCATGGTGTAAGGCTGTTTTACATTATTTGGCTTTTTGTTCAATCACATGGCTAGACACAGAATGGGACTCTTACTGAATAAATCAGCTCTTGTAGATAAACAAAAGCAACCCACTTTCATATCTTATCATCACATGGCTAAAGTTAAAAATAGTGGTGGTAGGTGCATGAACTATTATGCAAAACACCCCACTTCCTGCCAAAGAGAGAGAGAGAGGTGTAAGTCCCTTTTGTCAAATCATCACATGGGTAAAACTCATTCACATGTCTGTGAATTGGGCATTGTAAATAGACATATGGCATATGCACAATGCCATAACATTAGCACTAGTAAATCTCAAGGACTGAGTTTTTTTGAGCAATAACGGGGAGGTGGAATTCATACAAAATACTGCATAAAATAAATAAAAAATACATACATTTCATATACATACTGCATAAAATTTAACTCAACTACTAAGTTTTTTTTAGCAATAACGGGGAGGTGGAATTACAAAGTCATCATCCCCTGTATCTGAATAATCTGACAACTCTGAAGCAACTTATAAGTCTGGATCATTAGTAATGGCTTGAATAACTTCAATTGGATCCTTATGCATCTTCTTTGCAATGGAAATGCTCTCATTCCTGCAACATCTGACATATAGAATTTTTAATAGCTTTGATCAAATATGAGAAAAAATAAAGATACTACATAATCAAAGTGCACTTAGAAATCTATTTAAAAAATAAATTAACATTATAATAGTTTTGTTAAAATAAAAACTTTAGATTAGTAAATTGTAATTACAAATACGGATGTCAATACTCTGCCTCATGACAACAATGCCACTATTTATAACTTTTTCAGACACTAAGGCTTTTTCTTGATGATGTGACCATTCATCTTTATCTGCCATGGTGTAAGGCCACTTCAAATTATTTGGCTTTTTTTTCAATCACATGGCTAGTCACAGAATATGACTCTCACTGAAAAAATCAGCTCTTGTAGATACACAAAACCAATCCACTTTCTCATCTTATCATCACATGGGTAAAGTTTAAAATAGTGGTGTTAGGTGTATAACACGACAACTATTATGAAGACACCCCTATCATGCCAAAGAGAGAGATGTGTAAGTCCCTTTTGCCAAATCATGATATGGGTAAAATTCATTCACATGTCTGTGAATTGGGCTCTATAAATAGACATATGGCATATGCACAAAACCATAACATTAGCACTAGTAAATCTCAGTTGTTGATCTATGGATCGAAAGTATATAGAACGAAAGTACTCGTTAAGAGATGCATGGATTGAAAGTAGTTGTTTTACATTCTCAATCGTTCTCAAAACTATTCCATTTATAATTCCTCACATCGATGGTTCATTTTTTTTTGTAAAACTAACCTGGCATGTAATCATCGTCGCCTCCATCGAGATTTGGTGTGTATTTATTTTTCAATGTGTTCAAGTGTGTATTTATTTTTCCCTCAATAAACGTTTCAAAAGTGTTTTTACAAATGTACCCTGTATTTATTTTGCTATTATTTGGCTTCTATTCATTATAGCATTATAAGCTATTCCATTTTTAACTCCTCATATTTGAAACTATTCCATTTTTAACTCCTCACGACATTTCGTGAGGCCATGAGACCCCTCCGACGTATAGGATTTTGCTGCTTGCCATTGTCTTCAACCATCAAATGTTCTTCCTTCATATATAAGAAAATACTAGGAAATCTCCTCAGTATATATAATAAGATAGTAGGAAATTTTCGAACTCTAGTGAATTGTCTTCCATAAATTCATGCTAACCCTTGTAAAAATATTTTGTGTTATTAACCTCTCTCACTTCAACCCGCTACGATTTGCTTGCATAACTCCTAATTATAGACTTGGAAGGTAAAACTCTATCAAATTGCTTAAGGAACGCTGGTGGAAGTTGTAGTCGTTGAGAGCTCCGTTCCGGGAGAAAAACTTTGAAGAACTATGGACACAAATCAGGTAAGGAGAACTTTTTGCAAAGTACTATTTCATAATGGAACTGGCTTAAAAGCAGCTTCTTTACCTATTAGGGAGAGAATAATTGTTTTTAGGATATCTTATAGA